AGAGAGAGAGAGAGAGAGAGAGAGAGAGAGAGAGAGAGAGAGAGAGAATGTTGACACTTTTTAAATGTTAAAACAAAAGTATTGGGACAGGAACATAACATGTCCAAAACAGATGACTTAATAGAAGTTCCACAGCCCAAGTTTATCACAGTGAGTGTTACTGCTGAACTGTTCAGATTCCCTAGCATTAGTAACTGCCACATTCTAAAGGGGAAAAGCAGCTTCATTTAATGGCAGCCTGCCTGTGTCTGTAGGTTTCAGAGTTTCTATTTTCATTCATGTATAAGAGTTCTGGTACTTATTTTAAATTACACAAAAGAATGCAAGGGGAGTAAGCTGAAAATATAGGGCCATGAATGAAGACAGTACAGATGACAGCCTATATTTTATTTGTGCTAAATATGTTTTGTTAACTAAAATTTTAAAAGTAAAAGAACTTACAAAAAATACTGGTCTACTATCTATGGGATATTGCCAAAGCACGAAATAGATTTTTTTTTGTGAAGGGAAAATGCAACCAACTTGTGTGAATATATGTTGACCAGGGTGAGGGGGTGGGATAACAATCTGCCCCATGCAGAAAGAACCTAACTTTCATCAGTATGTGGCAGGCACAGTATGTGGCCAAAGTTGAAAAGAAAGACTTGCTGATGTGGAGCAGAAAAAGCCATAGGCCTTGCAATGTGGGTTCACCCTCATATTGTGTTTGAAACCTCTTCTCAACTATTCTATCACTTAAAATTCACACCCCAAGGGGAATGGAGAGTGAGCTCAATGATTAAGACCACTTGGTGCTGTTCCAGAGGAGGTAGGTTCAGTTCCCAGCACACATCTTCAATAGCTTACAACCACTTGTAGGTCCAGCCCCAGAGCATCTGATATTTGTGTCTGGGCTCCACCAAGCCCTGCATACATGGAACACATTGGCTCACACAGACATACACAAATCAATACAAAAAGATAAAATAAATTATACACATACCAAGACAGCAAACCAGCAAACCTGGCTAGAGGTCAGCATCTTCCAGTTTCTTTTTTCTTTTTTTTTGAAACTGCTTTAAAGAAAGCTTTATTTACCACATACATCTTAAGAGTGTACTGTGTGTAAATGCAGCGAGATCTAAAAAGCTTTTCAAACATGAAGCTAAAAACTAAACTAGTAGCATGTCTAAAACCCAAACTCTAAAACTTTTAAAAATATTTATATTAGTTTGTTCTTAATCCTAAAAAAAAAAAGCAAAGCCAAAAACAAGACAAAACAAAAAAAAAACCAAAAAGTTCACATTTCAAGTTATAAACTTACCTCAGTAGTGTATGTGAAATGGTTGAGAAACAAGAAGGACATGTAAGACCACAGACTGCAGGGCCACTGGTGCTTAACTGGCTGTCACCAACGACTGTCGTTATGCCATGTTAACTTAGTGCATATTTTTTTCTCTTTATTCTTATTAATATTATTTTTGAAAATATTTTTTCCACTTGTAAAATACAGTAAGAACAAGGGTAAGCAAGTCAGTGTTCTATCTGGAAACCTCCGTGTCAGTCCGTGGCAAGAAGGAGGATACTTCCTCTTCACTAAGTCAAGGGATGAGAATCTGATACCATTAATGACGTCACTCATCCCAACAGGCCTGTGTAGCTGCAGCTTCCTGGGAGAATCCTTAGAATACTGCACAGCTGATTTATGCCACTCAACAAGGATGGAGGGATGCTTAAAGGCCTTCGCAGGCACTCGATAATTTTGTAGAATAGTTAAATAAATATTTCTTATATATAAAAATCCATCCCATCAAGATAAGAGGGAAAAGACATTTGGGAATCTCTTAATTTAAAAACAAAAAGCATTTGCTAAGGGCATGATTCTACCATTAATCCACAAATCAGAGTTAAGCCGATTAGCAAAACTCTGATGGGGAGAAAGATTTGATGGGTTCTGTTATGCCATAAAATACAACCATGTATCTGTTACCACACTGCACACCTCACATCGTGGACTGAGCCTTTTTAATAAGATGCAAGATGCTGTAATCCATAAAAGAGATGACAATATTATCATTTTACTGTATTTTACATTCACTCTGCCAAAGAAAAGCCTTTAAACAGGCACAAAACCCTGCATCTGTGTATTAACTTCCAAAAACAATATAAGCAAACACTTTTAATAACATTGAAATAAAATGGCTGCATTTTTGCTTTACACTACGAGCCATGAACTTTGGTAACACAGAAGGTCTACGAGCAAGCATAAGAAGTTATATACAAACTACCCTTAAACTCTTACAAGGTCTCCCTCCTGGATGTGTATGCTCTGTGTTCACCTACCAAATGCAGAATAACTGAGAGAAGCTCTGTTAAAGAGCACAGTGCTTCCAACATCCCTGATGACCACAGGCATTCTGTAGGAAACACAAGAAGGCATGGGAAGCTTCATCTTCCACTTTCTATTTAGGCCTTTATTAAAGGTGTTTGCATCTATTAATTACGCCCCTATACATACACTATTTGTTAGGGGTGAAGTTGCCCCAGGCTCTGGAGTACTGAGAACTTTCAGGGTCTGGGGTAAGTGCCACATGGCCAACCTTAACCTCTACTAACAGACTGCGTTGTCCTTCAGTACCCAAGGGATATGGAACTTTGGCTGCTGGCCAGCTCCAGGCTAGAGCACACTGCTGGGTGACTGTGCCAGACACCTTTTTCTGCTGTCAGCTGTCACACCAGCTCCTTGGAGTATTAGACTTTTAATATTTGATCTCTCTGCTCCACCAGGAGGTTTTTCAGGAATCACTGCTTGGATCCTCATTTGTATCCTCATTTGCATGTTCATTTGCATGCTCATCTGAATACTCATTTGCATCTTCATTTGCTTCATCAACTCCTCCCAGTCACCAAATCCTTTATAAATAATCATTACCAACCACAGATTTTTATCAAGATAAGCTTAATGGTGCACTTGGGGCCCATTAAGACCTAAGCCTTTTTATCTGGCTGGCTCTTCTGAAGGTATTTGTGTTTGAGGTCCATACAAGCAAACATGGAAATTCAGGAACAATAGACCAGTTCCTTTTTAAGATAAGAAGTGTCCATCTAAACACAGAGAGAAAACAAATACTATAATATTGCAGTCTCATTCCTGGAGATAAAATCATACCTGAGTCCATCATCAGCCTACCCAAAATAAATCTTATCAAGATTACATACTTGTAAGCAAAGCCTACATTTAACATTTTTATTTATTTTTGTACAGAACTATTTTTCTGTTCAATGAAACAGGTTGGTTTGAAACAAAACAAAGTAAATTGTCCATGCCCACAGTAGTTTCAGGGATTTCTGTTGACACTATAGAAACCTTTCGATGTTAAGTATAGTTTGCATTTATAAAGAAAGGAGCTAGAGATCAGTGAGATTAAAAAGCACGATTTGTAAATGAGAAGAACACTTGGTTTTTTCAAACGCAGTGACTGAATATTTTTAACTGTCTCTTTAAAAGCAAAAGGGAAGTAAATTTGCATTGTGTTATCAAAATTATTATTGCACATTGCTGGATTGCACAGGGCTGGAAAACACAGAGTGCCTTCTACGTTTGTGTTTCTATTCTAGTCATGAAACCTGGGGAATTTCACACATCTGTCATTGAAGCACTTGCCTTTTACAAACTGAATACATAAAGTTTAAAAAGTTTATTTATACCAACTCAAAATGGCAAACATTTAGGTTTCTCTCTTCCTTTGTCTCTGAATATTTTTCCCAGGGTCAACGACTCTTTGAGAAACTGCTCCAGCTGACGTCGCAAAATATTGAAGTCAAGCTGGTGAGCGACGTGACTGCAGATTCAAAGGTATTAGAAGCCTTGAAGTTAAAGGGTAAGGCCAAGGTTGATGCTACTTTACCATGGACATTCTGTGACAATTCCTTGAATTTCACATGAAAATGATGTGTCATTTCTCTCATCAGTACATTCCACTTAATATGTTTCTTAGTTCTCCTTTGACAAACAAACAAACAACAAAAATCCAGCCTGATTAAAGCTTCTGAGGGAACTAATTAAACAGTGCTACCGGATGTGTAAAGTAGTGTTTTGTATATTAGTTTATAAGAAAGAATCTACTATCCATTAACCGATATTTAGTTAGGAAATCAGTCCTTTGACACATGTCAATAATTTGATCTGAAGAGAAAGAAGAAAAGAGCCACTTCCAGGGAATCAAGTACTCGGTTCCTATCTCTCTCTCCCCCAGTGCAGTGGAAATCCTCCTTGTGTTATGCAATCCTCATTGCAATCCGGTCTGGAAACCTTTGAAGCACATGGTTTCTGCCTTCAGGACAATCCTACAGCAAACACCCCTCACCCTGCACACATTCTGCAGTGCGTCCCAATATCGGCCACATTGAGCTTCATCCTGGAATCTCTTCCTGTGATCTTCTCTAGCTGGACTCTCAATTCCAAACATTTTTGGATATGTTGTAAAAATCATTTATTCAGCATTTCCTATGCAAACTGCTAATCTGTAGAAAAGATTAGCACACATGTAAACCAGTAAGAATGTTCACACTGCAGGAAGATGAGCAGCCGATATACTCAGTAAGTCTTCATGTTTTAACCTCGTGGCAGTGGACCTCAGGTATCTGCTGTTTAAACGTAGTGGGAATGCTTTTTTGTCACTGTTCCTACATCATGACATGATAATAGTTTCTAAACCTAGGACAGGTCGACACAAATAAGTGAGCCCAAATGGCATTAGACATGTTGAAACAGGAAAATAAAAATATCCATCACTCACTTGTGATGGATCTATACGTTGTCCTTGTATAATCTGGCTTACATGACTGAAACAAAATATCCAAGACAACTAACTTACTAAGGAAATGTTTTCCTTTGACAAATCGCTTTTGTAGTTGACTCTATTGTCACTTGCCCTTGTTGGCTGGGCCTATGGTAAGTAGTTCTGCGTGGGAAGAAGCTCATGGTAGAGGAGGTTGTTCAGTTTAAGCCGGCTACAAAGCTTATCAGAAAAAACAAGGAGGAACCAAGGTGCCAATCTCCTTTTCAAGGGCATGAATTCAGCAATGTAACTGCCTTTCCCTAGGCCTTTAGGACTCCTAAAGGTTCCTTTCCATATGATACCACAGGATGAAGACCAAGCCTTTCTGACATGAGGCTTTCATGAACATTTATCACAAAAACTATTACCACGTTACTATGGCCAATGCTATCGTTTTGTTTCATTTTGCTTTGGTCTTTTGAGATAGAATCTCACTATACAACCCTGGTTGTCCTAGGCTTCGCTATATAGACCAGGATAACTTCAAATTCGAAGCTGTCCTCCTGCCTCTGTCCCCGGAGTGCTGAGATTCCCAGACATGAGCAAGTACACCTACAGTTGTTCAGGGTTTTTTTTTTTTTTCCTGTGTGTAAGAAAGTTTAAATATGTACAAGATATTGCTGAATGTCAAATTTTTCAATTATCCTTTTTTTTTTCAACTAGCTATACCATTTTAAAACTAGTCATGCCCAGCTCATATACAGTCAGTGTGGCTTGGAAATGTGTTGTTACTTTTCTCATTTAAAAATATAAAATTGAGTCCTTGACATCCGAGCATTTGCTAACTAACACACACTTTTTAAGAAGGGATTCTCTTTGGTTAACTAGAGGGTAGGGCTGCATTTGTAGTTTGCAGGATGTCTTTCTCAATACATCTGCTTGCATCTCCTTGTATATATATAAATGGAGAAAGAGGGGACCTGAGAGTTATCATGTCCTTCCTAGTTGTAACCCTAGCTAAATCTTGTAAACTCAATCAAAAACTAAACTGAGGCATTAGGGGAGCACATTGTCCTAGCCATTGCTGAATGAGAATTAACACAGCTGTTGACAGACCTGTTTTCCTTTCTGCTGTGAACTGAAGTCTAAACTCCATGGCAGTTATTGTGTCTCAGAGAAAAGAGGCTGTCTGAACTTTCAAGTCTATGCAGGTCCTGTACATAAGAAAAGTTTCTATCACAATAAGAAAATAACTGGTTTGCTTTTACATTGGTGAGTCAATAGTACCTGTGCACCTGGAGTTAGGCATACCTGACTTTTAGTATGTGCTGCATGTATGCATAGTCTCAGTATAAGATACCTACTATGTATAGTCTCAGTACAAGATACCTGCTATGTATAGTCTCAGTACAAGATACACAAAGCTTTAAAGTCCAATCACTACTGATCTCTACTATCTCCCCTTAGTAGACATATATTAAATAATAGCTTCCTATGCCTTAGATACAGCTTTTACAAAATCATCTAACATTGGTTTTTTAGTATCTTGCTTGAGAAAGAGCTTTAGCCTTTTTAGGGAGAAAGTAGTCTTTCAGTACAGTTTTTTAAATTGTGTCCAAATATACATAAATCTACACAAAAAATATAAAGCTATCCATGAAGTACTGCAGTTGCAGGGGTGTTACAGAACACAGAAAAGAATCAAATATTTTGTGAAAAATAGGAGGATGAAGCTTACCAATAAGGGATGGAGAAAGATATAGACAAACAGATGATGGTTAGGTGAATGAGTAGATATATTGATGGGTGGGTGGGTAGATGGATGGGTGGATGGATAAGTGGATGGATGGATGGGTGGATGGATTGAAGGATGGATGGATGGATGGATGGATGGATGGATGGGTGGTGGGTGGATGGATGAATGAAGGATGAGTGGGTGAATAGATGAATGAAGGATGAGTGGGTGGATGAATGATGGGTTCTTAGATAATACATAGACAATGTCATATTCAGCTTATGCTGCTCTAATTAAATGTCAGTGGCTGACAAATTTATAAAGAACAGAAACATATATTCTCACAGTGTGAAGTCTGAAACTTCAGCATCAAGGCACTCAATGGTGTCTGGTAGGAGCCTCTTCTCTATTTCTAAAGTAGACCCTTGTGTCAGTATCCCCTGCTCTGTCACCATGGGAAAAAAATGATAAAGTGATAGACATCACATAGCAATTTCTAAAGGCCACTTCTTATTGCCACCACAAGAGGATAAATGTCTACATGAGAATTTGGGGAAAATTTTACATCATAGCAATTACAAAAATAGGTATGTAGGTAGGTAGGTAGAGACAGACAGACAGACAGACAGACAGACAGACAGACAGACACACAGTGACATATCTTCATATGTCTTCATATCTTGCTATGAGGTTTTAAAATAAAGTTCCAGGTTTTTCTCTTTTCTTTCTTTTTGTTCATATTGCCTTCTTTTAAAAAAAAATTCTGAGAGAGGTTTCACTATGTTGCCCAGGTTGACCCTTAATTCTTGATCTGGAGCAATCCTCCTGTCTCTGGAGTAGTGCAATCACAGGCATGTACCACTGACCTTTCTCAATTCTATTATCCATTGTAAGGACAATGCATGTGGGCCTGAGTAGACTCTCCATCACCATGACAATGCTCAGACTCTGTATCCTTTGCATCATCATCTGTGTCTTTTGTGACTAAGATCTTGTTAGGTGATTCACACATATGCCAGCTGTGGTTTGAATGGAGTTGACATTTGGGACTTCCTTCATTAGCAGGTGAGCTCAGTAGACAGCCTTCCCTGTGTTGCTGAACAATGGACAGACGTGGGACCCTACTGATCACCAGGGAATCTTCAACATCAGACATTCCATGATCATAATTCATTTGCGTGTGTTTTCTGAGGCAATGTCTCACTGTAACCCAGACTGGTTTAGAACTCATAGTGTGGCCCAGGCTGGCTTAGAACTCCCAACATTCATTCAACCTGAGCCTCCTAAGTACTAGAATGAGAGGCATGAGCTACAATAGCTGGCTTTACATCAAAAATTTCAATGTGAAACCATACTAAAAAGTCCTGTTACCAGTAACAACGTGTTTATAAGTTACCGTGCTGTGGCTTTCTTTTGCTATTCATTTAAAGAGAAAAGCACCAAGTTTCTGTTATCCAAGTGTAAAAGCCATCTTCACCTTTACTTATTTGAATTCAAGGAATCTGTACTCATGCTCCCACGATAACTTGCTTTCATTTTTCTCATTCACTGGCTGGACTTAACAAGACTTCAGAGGAAAGCATTCTACATCTAAGGCTGATGTTCAAACTTTAAAATTAATAAAAGTCACTGTGGTTTCCAACTTGAACATGTTACAGTGGCATTTGAGCCAATTACTCCAGATGAGCAGATTATAACTTAAGACACTGTGATTACTGAGTGTGTGTGACTTGGGTCATGCTGATATGTCATTATTACTAAGTGTAGCTCTCAGGTAGGTAAGGGTGTCTGTCTTAACTTCACATCAGTATTGAGAAGTCTATTTTGGAAGTTTCCCTAGAGGTCACACCATGGTATTTCAGCTTCCACCATCTGGAAGCTTGCCAATGGGAAGAAACTTGAAGGTCAAAGTGGTCCTCGAACTGAAGCATCTGTCATTGTCTTCAATCTGTCCTGGCAGTGACCCAGACAAAGGTCAAGATGTCCTACTGCCACCCAGCTGTAAGTCTCTGCTGGCTCCGGCTCTCACATCACCCCTTTCAAAGGCAATGCCCTTGGACACATGCTACAGAACATAAAGCTGGTACCTTTGCTTCATATCTGCCACTTAGCATTCAAAGAGCTCTGTCTTCCTCTCTGTTCCACAGCACACTAAAATATTTAGAAGGGCAGGTACTGCTCTACTTGTATGTATCTGCACACAGTATGCTCTCCTGCTACCAGGCAGTGACCAGCATAGCATTTAGACACAGGTCCTTCTGTGTCATACACAAAGGTCATGCTAAAATGCTGGGCCTGTCATTTACTGTGAAGGAAAATATTAGGTAATTATTTTTTCTGAACCTCAGTGTCCTTTTCAATAAAA